GTATTAGATTAGCACTGGTATTTCAACTTGAGCCTGAATTTGAGTTAATGTTTGTTTCCTTCCTATCCCTCCTCTCTCTAAACCTGTCTACATTCAGTGTGACCCTGGTGGCTGTTTGATTGAGTTGACCACCCAGCTGGTGATAGTGATGACTGGCAAACAGGTGTGGGGCAACATCCAGGAGGCTCTTGTCCCGTGAGTACTCCAACTGAACCAACCATCCAAAGCACAATTCATCAGAGGGCTTAAATTCAGTGTCAATGTTTAGAGTCATCTCTACTGAGATTGACAAGTTATTCGGCCTGGAAGTGGGTTTAGAAAAATACTCAGTCATCATGCGTCCACTAACCTCTGCTCATAAGCCTTTGCAGTATTCAATAAGATTATGACATTTAAAGAAAGACAGGAAGATTAATAAAATTTGATTAGTAACCTGTGCTTTTCCTACTATGACAAATTAAAATGTCTGCAGTGAAAATGCCTGTTTTTATCTATCATAATCAGTTTCCAGACAAAACAAGCCCAGAAATTAACCTTGACTTTTACACTCAGTTCAGTGGAAGGGTTCTATGTTTAGAAATGCAGTCATCTCTTTATTGCCATTGTTTGCAGTTCAATACAGCCTCAAATATGGCTGTCAGAGGTTGAATTATGTTGCTTCAAAGCTCTCTATCGCCCCCTTGTGGCCTGCAGGTGGCTGATGAACTGGTGGGGCAGCAGAAAGGCACGAAGCCATCCAGAGAGTCTGTACAGCCGCTGGGAGCAGGACCATGACCTGCAGGGCTTTGGACAGCTCGGCCTCTTCTATGAATATCTGGAAATGGGTAGACATTCAGTACATAGTCCATTACACCGGTAGATGCAGTCTCCTCAGAGGTTCTGCAGATGGTGCTGTTTCACTAACCTCTCCTCTCTCTGTGTCCCAGTGATCCAGTTTGGTTTCATCACACTGTTTGTCGCCTCCTTCCCCCTGGCACCCCTGATGGCTCTCATCAACAACATCATCGAGGTTAGAGTGGACGCCTGGAAGCTCACCACTCAGTTCAGACGTCCCGTGGCAGCAAAGGCCCACAGCATCGGAGCCTGGCAGGAAATCCTCAATGGGATGGCCGTACTCTCTGTTGTCACAAATGTCAGTGCTGGACTACATCTGTGTGCTTTGTGCACTCATTATCTACTTTGTATTATCTCTAGTTTTCCTTACACCATTTCTTTCCTTGCTTTCTAGGCGTTCATTGTGGCCTTCACCTCTGATATGATCCCTCGGCTCGTGTACATGTACGCGTACCAGCCGGAGGGTGAGATGAATATGAAAGGCTACATAAACAACAGCCTGTCGGTGTTTAATATCTCTGCAATCCCACCAGCCAACAAGCCCGAGGACGGGGAGAACCCTTTCTGGTTCAACAGCTCCATCACTACCTGCAGGTGGGTGTGTGTGTGTGTGTGTGTGTGTGTGTGTGTGTGTGTGTGTGTGTGTGTGTGTGTGTGTGTGCGTGTGTTTGTGTGTGATTGTAAGGCCTTGTGGATGAGGGAGAAACAGTGATTTTCTTATAATATGTGACCGTGGTGGAGGAAGTACCTGGATCCTTTGTTTAAGTAAAAGTCATGTAAAAATGTCCCCTTTCATGTTAAAGTCTAACATGAATATATATATATATATATATATATATATATATATATATATATATATATATATATACTGCATTAGTAGATTCTTCTTCTTCTTCTATGGATGTGTTCAAATGTAACTTGGGTGGCATACCTAATCCATAATAAAGTATCATATTTTAGAGGTTTATCATGTGTTTTGTTTGTACAATCAGATTAACTTAAAGTAGACTTATTATGTGTTGTGTGGTTAATATATTGTATGTGTACTTTCTTTATTGTTTTAATGCGCTCTATAGATATTATGTAGGTGTTAGAGTAATCATTACTTCCTTTTCCCTTTGCATTGAATCAAAGTCTGTATAAAAGTCTGCAGGAAATTTACATCTCTTGTTGCTTCTTTGTAGGTATCGTGATTACCGCTATCCTCCTGGCCATGAGAAGGAGTACTCCCACACCATGCAGTTCTGGCACATTCTGGCTGCCAAGCTGGCTTTCATCATTATCATGGAGGTAAAACCAAGCTGCTGTGCTTCTACCGCCACCACCACCAACACTTATTGACCGTTTGAGCAGAGCCTCACATTCTTACACTGGGCAGTAGTCGATTGTTATATTAATAGTAACCCTCATTCTCCCACACACACATTTCTCAGATATAGTACATCCATGAGTTTCTTCTGCAGCGCTCCACTTTGAAGTAAAACTAACCTGCTGTGCCTGCTTCCTCCGCAGCATGTTGTGTTCCTGGTCAAGTTCTTTGTGGCCTGGATGATTCCCGACGTTCCCTCTGACGTGAGGGCTCGGGTCAAGAGAGAGCGTTACCTGGTCCAGGAGTATCTCCACAACTATGAAGTGGAGAAGCTGAAGGTCCAACTCAGCCAAAACACCCATGACGAGTGTAGCTGCGCGCCCATGATCTATCCATCTTTACCCAAACATGAGGTGCTGTCAGAGTGTCTCTAGCACAGCAAGCTGCTGGTCAGTCAGCTGAACATGATGGGAGGACGTGGTGATGTAGATTGCCCTACTTGTGTATTATGATACTGACCATCACTTTTCTGTAGTGTTTGTTGTTGTTTGTGCAGTTCAAACAACACACACACACACAAACCTTTTATTAAAAAGAGCTAGTGGTTTCTTCAATTTACAGCCATCCCACTTCTACTATTGTGCTAATTGTGGAAGTGCACAAAGTTGAAAGTGTTAATGCATGCTGAGACTTGAAGCACATTAATTTAAACCTCATATTAATGGCCTTTCACTCTCTATTTTGTAATCCTAGCGCTGAGGATAATCCAAATTTGCTGTAAGGAAAGAAAGGAAATCTTATACACTGTGTCTAAGACAGGCGACTTACTATTGTTTTAATACAAGACTATTTATTTAAGTGCCACTACAAGTAACCAAAGATTAAATGCCTTAATATATCATAAACTTATTGGTTCTGTCAGTAGAAAAACAATTGATATTTTTTTGGAAACTGAGAGCTTGCTTATTGGGTTTGAGTATTTACCTTGTTCGTATGTATAGCTGTATGAAGAGCTCCGGTGTCATATACTGTAAGTTTATGTTCAACTCAATTGTTTTTTGTTTTGTTTTTTACAGTTACTACGACAAATGTGAGCATTGTTTATTTGACAGCATTGAGGGTGACAGCACAGATTTAACTCAGCTTTACCAAATTATGTTCTTCACTCTGCTGGCAGTGGACCTGTTAATAGGCTGGTCACATTTAGCTTTAATCTCATAACAGCCACCCCCCCAGTTTCTCCAGGCCATAGTCTGACACGTGAAGTAGCTTTTTATGAAGACAAATCTGTGCTGCTGTTACTACTGTGAGTAAGGGCATATTTTGTCCTGCAATGGCCAGTTTTTTGAGCAGCAGCAGCAGCTGGTGCATGTTGACTGTTGACAGTGAGTCCTGTTCCTGGAGATGAGAAGCGAAAAGCCCTGAGAGAGTGAAGAGATCCCTTTTTAATGTGCCTCTGTTTACCAACACGTCGAAGTTAATGAAAGCCTGCCCCTACCTACTGAAGTATGTTTGCTCCATTACACAAAGCACATCAGCCATCGCCTAGTTCTTATGTTTCTGGTTTCCTCAGCTGTGTAGAGAAGGAAAGATACACATTCTTTTTTTAATTATTATTTTGCACAAAGCACTTAATGAAACGTGACTATCAAAATAATAACATGTCAGTCTAATTGTTGTCATGACACTACGTATTCATAATCAGTGTTTTGAAGCAGAAATGTGTGATAATCTTTAAATTGAACAAGAGTTGTACTGTAAGTAAGAAGAGTTGAGGAGTTCCCTGTTCTGAATTTTATGTTTATGTATCGAGCTTAAACAAGGAGAAAGCATTTTGTTTTGAAATTATATGAAGGACATTTTTTATTAGGCTGCCTACATAGAAATATGTTTTAAAAATATCTGTTGTTTTAAGTATTTGATTTTAGGTAAAATAGCTGACTGGGCTACAAACTCAGGCGACTTAATATATGTTTGTTTGAGATGCATGTAGATGTCAACAGATGTGAGAGCAATGTTCCAGTTTCCCTTTACATGCCCTGCGCTCAGCTAAACCTGTGCCTGTTGATGCCTTAATACATCTAATATCTTGTTGTCTCCTGTATTCCCTTGTACATTTCCTTTTAGCTAACTTTTTTTTCTCTCTTTGTCTCTCTTTGTTACTCTTTAATATTTTTATTTTATACTTTCACCATGCTTGAAAAAACGGTGAACCTGTTTACTGTATGCTTACAAGTTACATTTTCATTTTTTCATTCATGTGTTTGTTATTTTTGTAATGGTCTCTGTATCTAAGTGTGTATTGTAAACCAAGACAAATCTCCAAAATAAAGTACCAGTTCAACTTGACTAATCGTTGGATGTTTTTTTGAATCAGTCTTAAATACTAGAGACCGTCAGCTCCTTTGCTGTGGACATGAAAGTTGCTGTTCACATAACAGATGGCCTGAGAGAACACTGATAACTATTCAGTGTTTGCTCTCACTGGTGGGTGTGTTTCACACCAAAATATGTTGGCATGGTTGTTTCCACTTACAGAGAAGCCACTGTAACAAAGACATGGGCAACACTCAGGTTCAGGTAGGTTGAAAAAGGTTCATTGTGATTTCAAACATTTTATCTATCAGGTTAAGATTTATGAAACCACAAATATACTCAACTGAGTGTGTGAAAGGATGCTTTATAAGAGTAGTATGTTTTAATAAAAAGGGTAACTACCTGACCATATACTTTAGATGAAGAAAGCCAGGATACAAACTATGTGGTAATAGATATACATTATAAACTCCAAGTTGAACCTCTGTGCCTGTGACCATCCAGCCTCCAGAGGAAGCCTTCTGCAGCCTGGACACACATCAAGGTTTACCGGTGGTCCAGCTCTACGTGATGCCGTCCTTCTTCCTGGCGGTGCTGATCCTTGGCCTCCCCCTCAATCTGCTCTCCCTCTGGGTCTTCTTCCACCGCCTGCGGCGCTGGACCCGCAGCACGGTGTTCCTCTTCAATCTGACCCTGGCTGACACCTCGTGGCTGCTGGCCTTGCCTTACCTCATCAACTACCATCTGGACCATCTGTACTGGAAGCTGGGGCTGACCTTCTGCGCGGGCGTGAGGATGTTCTACCACAACTACTTCTACCTCAGCATCTTCTTCGTCACCTGCATCAGCGTGGACCGGTACCTGGCCATCGTGCACCCGCTGCGCTCCCTGGTGCTGCTGGGCCGGAGGCAGACCTGCCTGCTGTGCGTGGCGATCTGGGCGGCCGCTCTGATCCTCAGCATACCTGTTGCCACCATGACTCTGATCCAGACCTGCCCCGGGAGCAACCGCACAGTCTGCACCCTATACATACTGCTGAGTGAGACCGGGGAGAGCCTCCCTTATTCCCTTTTTTGCTCCCTCGTCGGCTTCCTCTTCCCGCTGCTCTCCATCTGCTACTGCGGCCTGCACAGTGTTAGAGAGCTGCGCCACCGGTCCTGCCGCCCCGACCCGCACAACAAGCAGCGACGGCTCCGGCGGGTGCTGAGCGCAGTGCTGGTCCTCTTTGCGCTCTTCTACCTGCCCTACCACCTGAGCCGAAACGCGGCCATCGTGATGCGGGTGGTCTACCCCGAGAGCCCGGCCTCCTGGCACAATGCGGACCTGGCCTTCGCCCTGGAGATGTGCTTCTGCAGCCTCATCACCTGCGTTAACCCTCTGTTCAGCTGCTTCATAGGAGGCCAGTTTAGGAAGGAGTTTCACGGCACGTTTGCGGTCATATTCTCCCAGTGTCCGGGTACGCAGGTGGCCTCTATGATATCTAAGCGGACCCGGATGACGGTGAGGACAAGGCAGGGGATGTCGACTGTCTCACCTGTGTGCGCACTGCCCGCGCCTCGTTCCCAGTGAGCTGTACACATGTAAAGTGATAATACTCTTTGTCTAATAGTCATTAAACTGTATATGAAACATTTGTACGTCCTTTGTTTAATCGCCTGTTTTGTTTAATTGGTGGAATAGGATAAATACACTGTATATAACAATGGTTTCCAGTCTCCTTTATCTCATTCAATCTCTGAGGTTTGGGTCTCTTTAACTTCCTTACACAACACTGCCTCTGCGTGGCTGACTGCGTACTGTACTTTACAGTCTGGTTTCACGTGTGTGAATAGCATGTCTGTCTTTAATTAAAAATAATAATAATCATTTGAATCTCCAGTTCATTCATTCATCATTCATTTTCTGAAAACAAAGCTTTCAGAAAATGTGTCCCTGAAGTTTTAACACTGTCCAACTAAAACCGAGAAATAACCGGATGTGTGTGTGTGTGTGTGTGTGTGTGTGTGTGTGTGTGTGTGTGTGTGTGTGTGTGTGTGTGTGTGTGTGTGTGTGTGTGTGTGTGTGTGTGTGTGTGTGTGTGTGTGTGTGTGTGTGTGTGTGTGAGGGAGGGGGTCATTGCTTTGTTCCTGCTTAATAAAGTGCTTTATCAGTGGTCGGAGCTCATCTTTAAATTATTTTCTATTCTAGTTAGATATAAATGAAGGAGGGAGTTTGTCGATGGTCGCCGCTGTCAGATTTGAATTGAAGGAGAGGAGCGCCGGAGCGGAGGGAGGAGGGGCGCTGCACGGAGCTGCTGACAGGTAGATGAGCTGTTCGCTGTCCACGGTGCTGAAACCTCCTCCGGCTGCTGCCTCACCGGAGATCCTCACCTCAGATTAGACCGGAGCTCCGACTACCTGCACCGGCTGAAGATCTTTTTTATTTCCTTTTACTTTTTCCACCTCGATTTCTCAAAGAACACACACACACACACACACAAAATCAACTTTTCCTTTTCTGCTTTGCTGTTTTGTATAATCGCTGACTGGATCTTAAGATGGCACTGCATGGATTAACATTGCGCAAGGCAAAAGCGGACTTATTTGACTGCTGTTTTGTGACTGTGAAACCAGCCCTTTCAGACTGAACGTGTTTCCCTTCTTTCTCCATTTCTGCCTGAGATTTTAAGGACATCGAGACGTTTTCTGCTTAAAAAAAAAAACCGCGGCGCGTTATTTGGATTAATATCATCACAATATGCTCATTAATGCAGCACTTCCATTTGTTATAGTATTATAGAATTTTTCAAGATAATTTGGACATGGAGCCTGGACAGGAGAAAGCTCTCCCTACCTCTAAAGAGGGAATTAAACAAATCGCAGGAAAGGCCCTCGGGAAGCTGTACAGGTAAGGCGAAGAAATTCCCATTTCTGCATGTTTCTTAATCACAGAATTACATCTTTTATGAGAAATTAAAAATAGAAACCCCCCAGATGTTAACACCCCACACAAAAAACGTGCATTGACTTCAAATGTGTTTATCACTGATTTATCCCACAATGAAATCAAGAAAGAAATCTTCTTTATGAGATGAATCACGGACAGGATGCTGAAAGCAGAGTCGTGTGGCCCGAATATTTAAGGATCAGATATTTCCCTGGAGGATGATCCCCCTCCACCAGCAGCTGTGGGTGTTTTTTAATAATTAATGAAACAGAGCGAGTCGTGACATAAGGTCGGAGGATATCTATTACCTTATGTATCTATCTGTGTTAATTCAAGATCGATGGACTTCATATCAATTGACTTCTTATATTCTTTATGTCACAAGAGTCTAAATGAAATGTAGTTCAAAAGAAAAACTGATAACTGGCTGTAAAGCAGATGGATCTTCAGTTTAAAATCAGAGGAGGGCAGCAGGATGCGGAGGAGCAGCTTTTCAGATTAATACAATTTAATTATTATTAAATTCTCATTGGAAATGCGAATAAAATGGCTATTGATTGAATATTAAGCCGGAGAATTGTTTTTTTAAGCAATTCATCTAGAAACATATATCTTTGATCATATATAGGCCTATATTGTACATTAAATATCACTATTTGTGCAGGCACACATCTTATTCGTTTGATTTTGGTCCTTAAATGACTAAATCAGTTGTTGAACTTGATTCCAAGCTGCAACACTGAAACGTGACTCAAAGCTATGAAAGAAAAGAAAAAATTCTGTTGGTTTGATTGAAGGTGTAGCAGGCCTGTTATCACACTGGATGAGGCCTTCACATTTCAATGTTTAGCTTTTTAAATTAACCTGAAATTCCTTTGCACAAATTCCAAGAGGAGCCCAAAGTAAAATGCCAACGCCGCATTTATGAGAGCTAATTAAAAAACAAAAAAAAGGCAGAAATGAACTCTTAACAACGACGGTGCTGATATTGCTGCAATGCGGTATTAAGGTCATTTTCTCTTCGTTTGCCAACGAGCCTTTCTTTTACAAGAACATGGAGAATTTCTGCAGGGAGCGAAACGAAAAAATGCAGTTTGACTTTAAAGGGCGCGGGCTGAGGGGGCCTGAGCCAAATTAAAAGAGGGAAATAAAGACATTGTCAAGGCCTGTCGTTGGAAGAGCACACATTAAAGATGAAAGCTCATTTATTCTGTAGTATCAGCTGAAACTGGTCTCTAATAGCCTATGCGTGTGAATAAACATTTTTTTTAAATGTTATTTTGCGGGAAATCAACCAAAATATATATGTTCCTCTGATAGTTCCCCCTCATGGTTCCTTTAAAAAAAATAGCCTGGATGTTTGATTTCATATATTCAAATTTAAATCGAGTTTAACCTAAAAAAAAGTGCATCGGCTTGTCGTGCAGGAGGCTGGAAAAGCGGCAGCAGACAGGTGAGGTGATCGAGCTGACGGAGGATGGGAGACCCTCGGCGGACCAGGAGCGGAAGAAGCCCCTGTGTGACTGCACATGCTTCGGGCTTCCGCGCAGATACATCATCGCTATGCTGAGCGGGCTCGGCTTCTGCATCTCCTTCGGTATCCGGTGTAACTTGGGTGTGGCCATCGTCAGCATGGTCAATAACAGCACAATCCATCAAAACGGCAAGATCATCATCAAAGAGGTGCCTGCAAACTCCGCCCCGTTACACCCCAAGAGCCCCCCACGTTTGAGGGGCCAATTAGACTGATCCATTTTTTTTTTGTTAAACACACATTGGAGAACCTCAATTGAGTCTATATGTGCTTTTTAAATTGGATTTCAAGTGTTTGGCCTGTGTATTATATTAAGTAGAAGCAAATGAATATAGTTTTTTTTAACTTTAATAAATCGATCGATCACCTTATATACCCACTGGTGTCGCTGCAAAGGTATTAAAGCAACAAAAAACATATATTTCTGAAAGTATTTTCCACTGTCAATATTTCACACTTCATATGAAGCATTTTTATTACACTTTTAACGAATTAAAATGTAGCTTTTTACCGGAGAAAAATGGAAACGCTCATTAAAACGTGTCTTTATTTTTGCGTGTCTGAAAGAAAGCGAAATTCAACTGGGACCCAGAGACTGTGGGGATGATTCATGGCTCCTTCTTCTGGGGCTACATAGTCACTCAGATTCCAGGAGGATATATCTCTTCCAGACTGGCGGCAAACAGGTAACTGCACTCCATACTTTAAGAAATAAACTACAAACAAGAAAATACATTTCTAAATATGAGTTTCTCTGCCTTACATGTTCCCATTTTTAATTCATAATATGAAATGAAGCTGTATTATTTGTGCTGTCGGTCTCATGGTTTGAAGAAAGTGGTCTGACCTTACAGCAGATAAACTGGGGATTTGGCTGATGCCCACCAGGCGTGCCTCCTCATGTTAATGAGCCCCCATGGGACCACCATGTCTAATCCTTTATGTTCAGAGGCATGGCAACCACACCAGCCAAAGCCTTGTGTGAAATGCGGTTCTGAGTAATGATTGCAGTATGATTTCAATGGCCACATTATTTCATCAACAGCTGATTCTGAGTCAGCTTCAAATAGACAAATGGGAGCAGAATAAATGCAACAAAGAACATCTAAAACTGTGGAAAATTATAGCAATAAGACTGTATAATCCAAATTAGTAAATCATGTGAATATAGCGGTGATATAGGAGGAGATACACAGCAACCAGAACAGAATAAGGTCGCAGTATAAGTCCTTGTAGTCATCATTATCAGACTGTAAGACATTTCATGAGGGAAATGGAGCCTAAATAAGATGCAAATCTTTGAAGAGCTTTATCATGCCAAGTCAGCTGAGCCCACTGAAGCCTTCTGCTGCAAACACCTCCTGTCCTCACTCCCCTGGAAACTGAATAACTGCCTTTGTGTGTGTGTGTGTGTGTGTGTGTGTGTGTGTGTGTGTGTGTGTGTGTGTGTGTGTGCCATCCAATTAGGACTGATTTATCTACCTTATCAGCATTTATTCTTTCAGTATGTAAAGAATCATACAGTATAGCCCTGTATATTCTGTTACTTATCCAATGTTTTCATCTCTGTGAATGGCTTGGAATTGATCAATATCTGTATCTGGTTGAATCAAATAATCTTGTTTTGATTATATTCTGACAAATAATCCCAAACACGCTGTTTATCCAGAGTTTTTGGGGCTGCCATCGTGCTGACATCCACCCTGAACATGTTCATTCCAGCCGCTGCCCGGGCGCACTATGGATGTGTCATCTTTGTGAGGATATTACAAGGGCTGGTGGAGGTACTGATGCACAGTTTGCACATCACATCTTGACCTTTGAAAGACTCAAAACTGATGCCTCATTATCAAGCTGAGAGCTAAACTCGACCCCTAATGAAATTGTCCTGACATTCTGTGTTTGAGCATGTTTTACAGAAATCCTCTGTTCATACTGAACTCCCTGGCTTTTTATTTGTGTTTGCACCGGACAATGAAGCCCTTTATATAAAAGTTCCATTCATAATACTGTATAGAATTGTCAGATTAGTCCACAAACGGCATAAAACCCTGTATAGCAAGGCTTATGTATGTTGGTTTAGCTGGCCAAAATCGTTCCATGTAAACACAGAAACGCACAGAACAAAAGAGATAAAAACCACTTGATGCGGGCGGATCCCACAGCTCAACAGAAAGGAAAAGATTTCAGAGAGAGATGCTATTATCAGACTCAAGGTCATTCTCTTTTGTTGTTTTGTTTTGCTGCATACTGTCGTTTCAATAGCAGCTCATGACCATTGAGAGAGGGAGCCGCCTGTGTTCAGCACCCCTCCACTTATTACTACAAATTAAACATTAGCATTTCAGGGTGTCTCCCACTGCAAGCCCCAGCAATTTGTGTCTATCAATAGTTGATTGTATGCCACTTAGCGAATAATGAAGATTTAATGGGAGCAATTCAGTTTTTTTTTTTCATGAAGTGGGTAGTCAGCCTGAATTTGCACTGACTCACACCTAACCCATTAGTCTCTATTAGAAAGGTCAGCTACAATATATGTCAGTTTGTTTGTTATTAAGTACAATTTGTCTTGCACATCTTTGGCAAATGAGATCAGACTACGTCAATCGAGCAGGATACCTTCACCTGTAAAGTCAATTGACTTAAAGTGGGAAAAATATATGTAATATTTATAGATTCATTTAACAAATCAAAGAGTTTACAGGAAGATTATCTCCATCAAATTTAGAAGAGCTTATTAAAATGAATGAAAAAAGATCCTCGTGTGTTCATAGTGTGACTGTAATGTCATTTGTCAATGTGCAGGGAGTGACTTATCCAGCCTGCCATGGGATCTGGAGTAAATGGGCTCCACCGCTGGAAAGAAGTCGTCTGGCAACCATCTCCTTCTGTGGTACAAACCTGCACACACGGTCATGTTTCTGTGAACACATAGGTGTTATCATCATATTATTTAATGCATTCAAATGTAGGTTTAGAATAACAAAATATTGCTCCTATAAAATGTGTGTAATCGTACACTGAACACATTTGTCACTAAACACTGCGACAACACTGCGACAGGATCCCATTCTGCTCGGTCATAATATTTTGTCTTGTTTCAGGATCCTATGCTGGTGCAGTGATAGCCATGCCTCTGGCCGGGATCCTGGTCCAGTACACAGGATGGTCCTCTGTCTTCTATGTGTATGGTGAGTCTCACCGTCATGAAATAATTTCTTTTTTACACCTTTTAACATTTTAACATATTAAAAGTTTAATTAATAAGAAATAAACTGCACCCTTCAGATTAATATACTCATGAGTTTTGCTGACGAATAGTGTGTGGTTAATGTTAATAAACTTTAAACAGATATTACTGGCATTAGCTGGCATTACTGTGTAGGTTTTCTACACTATTACATTTACTGTTATCCCATAATTGTTACTTGTGGCCTCATGTGGCTACTGTTCAGCTACATACTGTCAGTTACATAATGTGTAGCTTTAACATACAGTTTTACCCTTTTAATTCCTCTCATGTATCTTTAAATTTACAAAGATATCTTATTTTATACACATTTTCACTCTTACATATTTGGTATCTTTAGATTCTCCACTAGAATTTAGCATAAAGTTGATTAAGTGTTTGATTTTGACACCGTCTTGATCTGTTCAGGATGCTTTGGGATATTTTGGTACATGTTCTGGATCTTGGTGTCCTACGAGAGCCCAGCAGAGCACCCAACCATCACTGAAGAGGAGCGCCGTTACATCGAGGAGAGCATCGGTGAAAGTGCCCAGCTGATGGGCGCAATGGAAGTGAGTCCTCAGAACTGTATCCCTTGATCTGTAACACACAGCCAAGTGCTGTACATCCAGCTGATTCTCTCTTTGTTTTAACAGAAATACAAGACCCCCTGGAGGAAATTTTTCACTTCCATGCCCGTCTATGCAATCATCGTGGCCAACTTCTGCAGGAGTTGGACCTTTTATCTGCTCCTCATCAGCCAGCCTGCGTACTTTGAAGAGGTGTTTGGTTTTGAAATCAGCAAGGTAAATAAATCCCTCATTATGCCTGGTATCAGCTCTAAAAATATATTTTAACATTATGTGATATTGTTCAAGATTATAAACTAAGGCTGTGAATGAATTATTCAAGGTCAGTGCTTTTTAATTTGCATAAAATCCAAATTAAGAATCTTCCTGATACTAGTGCTACGAGTTACCTTATTCTGCACTGAAAGTATGACAATGCTCAACTCTAGTCTCCTCATCTAAAATAGATCTCCAATCAGAGAAACAGAAACAGGGATCTTAGCTTCCTTTGGTCTTAAATGCCATAGTCTTGAAAAGGCAAATGGTCTCTGAAATCTGAGTCAGTACAACAAGTAGTGAGTTAAAATGGCTTTCTGCAACATGTTGATAAATATATTAGCATTTAGTATGTGCAAGAGTATTAGCATTAAGATAAATATATTAGCTAGTCATGTGTTATTGCTGGTAGTTGAACCAGCCGGTTCACAGGACGGAGGGAGGTCCAACCATTGACTTAAACTTCAGCTGATCATCCATCACGACTGGCATTGACCTTGACAACCTTCCCCACAGGCCATGAAGCACTAGGCAACTTTGGAGTTTAGAATTGTTCAGCTGAGGAGTGGGTAGATAGTTTCTCATAAATTGTGTCCAAAAGTGATCTGCCATTGTCTGACTATGCTGCCATTGTTTTTTTGGTGACAGAGTTTGGTGTGTAGGCCATTGGGTGTCCCACCACCCAATCAGCAGAGTACTAGGCGTGACAAGATCAGGGTCAGCAATGTCTGATGCATATATGCATATATCTGAGCGGTTTAGCACTGAGGATATCTTTTACCTCAATCAGAAGTAGAATGTCTTTCAGTAGCACCTCGGTCCCAATTACTAAGAAGTTTTGTTCGCTGGTCTGACAGTAATTCCGAAGCAGTACCTCATCTAGAGATGGAACGTGTTAGTGCTAAGAGGAACGTGTCTACATCAAGGCTGGGGATTAAGTCCAGGTGGATGCACTTAGTTGTGAGGCATTTAAAGATTAGACTATCTTCACCACATAGGGCCCAAAACAATAGACTCAAATGGTCGGGTGGCATCTATGTTGGTATCATCCATTAGTTGTAAACATCCTCTGAAGTGGATGAGGGTCCATTTCAGGAGACAATATCTTCAACCTAACCTACTGGTTTGCCAGCCGTTGAGAGCCTTCATCTCATGCCTTGGGCATTACAGAGGTGAGCTAATGTTGGCTACAGCTGCCCCATAAGAACTGATGAGTTGCCTTCACAGAACCTGACCAATTACAAAATACGAAACAATTATGGCTGGGTGTAGGGTTGGAGTTGTTTTAGTGAGCCCACAGTGGCAGCTCAGGTTCTTGAAGTTTAATGTTCTTCTCCAAGAGCCAAAGTTCTGTGCTTTCAGATCTGGCTTCAGTTTGAAGATGGGACACTGCTGTCCGGCCCACAACTTTACTGGTTTGGTTCACTCATAGCAGCAGGCAGCTGTTTTCAGCTTAAAAACTCTGATAAACCCACTGTTCATTACCTTCTCATCACAAAACAGTAGACAGACACACTTAGAGACTAGTTGGCGAACACAGAGGAACATTTAGCAGCTAAAAGAGACATTTCCCTCAGGAGTTGGTGGAGACCAAAACAGAGCAAAAAGACAGTTAATATTGGACTTATATTCATCAGGTCGCCTGAAACGACTATAAATAAATTACAATGCTGCTCTGAAACTGCTGGATGCTGGATAACAAGTTTGTCATATCAATTTAAAAGTGCTGATGATCAATGACAAATCAATGTTAACAAAAAAACAAAACAAAACAAAGAAATTGTTGCCCAGCATGCACCGGGGCAACAGACTCATAGACATAATTCTCATGTTGCATTGCATGCATTGTCATGTTCCTTCTTTGTAACAGCTGTTATTGTGTTTCGCTTTGTGTTCAACAAAAGTCTCTACTCTTTCCAGAACTCCATTGTTACTGTTAGTTACTGAGAACAAAGTGTTGTTAGACTGTGACTATTGTGTGCACAAGTGGTGACAAGCTCCTGAAAATGAATGCATACTGTGCAGTGACTGGTGGCTGATGTTTGCTTAATTCTGTTAAATACTTTGCTTTAACTTAAAACATCTGTTTCATTCAGACAAACAGAATTATGTTTATTCAACTTCAATATATTTTGTGGAATTTTTACCCACATTTTAAAGTTGATTCAAGGTTAACGTTGTTTTATTGAGCCCTTTCACTAAGATAATATATTTTAACACTGATTATATTAACAAAATGCATTATTTATGGGGACAATTTTGCAATGACTGCCTCTCAAAATGCTTTTTTTCAGTCCATGAGTGAATGTGTCAGACAAAGCCACAGTTAATCTGAACATTTCATAATCCCTGCCTTCCCTGGAGTGTGAAGCATGAATCACACTGGTTTGGCAGGTGTAATTCAGCTTCAGCGTGGCCTGCTGTGATTACTGCAGTGAATTATTGCTCTGATGATACTGGAGTCAGAGGTTGAAACTGACACAAAGATTGGGTCTGAGACCGAAACAATCACTTTTGTTATGACAGTTTCTTTGTAGTTGTCACATTTTCTTCAGACAAGTGTTTGATGATTTCTCAGGTTGGAATAGTGTCAGCGCTCCCTCACTTGGTCATGACCATCATCGTGCCCTTAGGAGGCCAGTTAGCGGACTACCTGCGAACCCACAACATCATGTCCACCACTATGGTCCGGAAAATCATGAACTGTGGAGGTGAGGCTTTGATAATCATCTCAGTCTGTCTCCATGATATTGTACAATTACTTCTCATCAGTCCATCAATGAACTCTTGTCTTTTTGTTTTTAGGGTTCGGTATGGAGGCCACTCTCTTATTAGTGGTTGGTTATTCTCACAGTAAAGGGGTGGCCATCTCTTTCTTAGTTCTGGCGGTGGGTTTTAGCGGATTTGCAATATCAGGTGAGAGTTCGTAACGATGGAATTTAACTCAAATACTGACTTTTGTGTCATTAAAAAAAAGCACTAAACTTTGTTTTCACTCTCTGTTGTTGCAGGTTTCAATGTCAACCATCTAGACATCGCTCCTCGCTATGCCAGCATCCTCATGGGCATATCCAACGGTGTGGGTACCCTGTCCGGGATGGTCTGCCCTCTAATAGTGGGTGCCATGACAAAGAACAAGGTGAGTCTTTTCTATTCATACAGTGATCTGATTGTTAACCCAGCTGGGAACTTTTAAAAAGATTTTCTCCATAATATATTAAAAACTGAATGTGCAAACGTATGGCAAAAAACATTGTGAGGTATTATTTATTAAGAGAGAAAATTTGATTTAAAATGACTAAAATTACTTTTTGGACACATATATAGCATGTAACAAGAGATAAATGAACAATTAATGCAGGGACACAGGATTAAATTAACGCTCACCTAGTCTGCTTCATCAGGACTGAATGGGTGCAGTTTGATCATAAATGGCCGTGGTCAACCGCACAACTATCATCAGATTTTAATTTAAATGTTGCTAAACCCTGACTAGTAAACAGAGATGCATAACATAATCTCTCATGTGAAAAAACCTCTCATACTTTGGCAGAAGATTTATAAGTCCACTCCTCATGGTAATAGGTCCGTTGAGAGAGTATACCAATACATCACCAAGGCCTTTAAGAAATGACTCAGCCTGGCTACAACTGTTTTCTGTCTCTAGACCCGGGAAGAGTGGCAGTATGTCTTCCTCATTGCTTCCCTCGTGCACTACGGGGGTGTGGTGTTTTATGGGCTCTTTGCATCTGGGGAGAAACAGCCATGGGCCGACCCTGAAGAAACCAGCGAGGAGAAGTGTGGCTTCATTGATGAGGATGAGCTGGCCGAAGAGACAGGTGACATAACGCAGAGCTACGGCGCGATGGGCGGTCCGGCTAAAAGCTACGGGGCCACTGCACAGCTCAACGGCGGTTGGGTGCAGGACTGGGATAAGACGGAGGAATATGTGCAAGAACCAGCGGGAAAGATGTATGCTGAGCGTGGCTACTCTTAAACCAGACAGTTGTGGTGAGTCTGCTTACAGAAACAGACTCTCCATCACGAATTGCACAAATAAGCATTATCTTAGATATTTAAATCCATTCTGTGTATTCAAGTAAAACGGTTACTAGTTTCAAAAAGCCAGTGTAAAGAAATAGTTCATTGCAATGCAGAACAATCCTCATTAGATTCTCACATGTTTCTCATCACATCTACCTACAGTAGGGCTTCACTATACAGAGAGCGGTTGCAAAGAAAACTGCAGGCCTATGTTGTACTTCTTAGGTATCCAAACCTCATCAATCTACTTGAACAACATGAGCCAGATGACATCATATAGGGTCTTTCTCTGAAATAACACTCTGATTGCACTGAAACTAAAAGTATTCTAAAACAAGATTCTATTCTGTTTCTCAAATGTGTTTTATGTACTGTATATACCTGTATACTGTTTCTGTGAGACTATTGTGGATTTTGGGTCGTTGATCTGTGTTAACATTAATATAAAAGGCCATATTTTTCATGGACAGTACCTTTTCAGGGAGATGTCTGCTTGCAAAAAAGGTCTTCTTCTTCTCAAGCGAGGCCTACAATACACTATGACAAAAAATAGCGTGAGTGAAGTTGAAGCGTAGAGTTTTAGTGTGTGTTTGTTTGCATGAATTTGCTCAGATTAATGTTTCAGATGCAGTCGCCTCACAGTCATTGATAGTCCTCATTCAGCCTGCTGCTTTGTTCTTAGATAAGTGTCTTCTGCCATAATAAATAATAAATTAACTTTCATAATCAGGTTCCAGTCGTGATGTGAGACAAATCAAAAAAGTTTTGAAGGCGATTGCTCAGAAGACATTGTTTATTGATGTTTGGTGTGCCCTGCAATAAATTCTGTGTACCAGCCGCCACCCATCACATTCTTTTCTGTAATGTAACACTGGCTTGCTGTATCTAATTGTAATTGTTTTGAAGTCATGTGATGATCAACATTAAGGTGTGTGTTTTAACAAATTACTATGTGTCTGGAGAATCCAGCTTTAGTGCTCATGATGCAGCGAGGAATGCAGAACTGTAAATGAACAACCAGATTTTTGTGATCTCTTAGTGTTTCTTGGTTGTTCTCATTGTCACCAGAAGTACTTTATTGACACTTTGATATTGTCACGTTTGAGTGGACCACATAAATTAATAGATGGCTCTTCCACATGACTTTATTTGCTATTTGAACACTTTCTTCTGTTGCTGTATGAAATCTGCAAGGATGTTTAAAATATATGAATATATAAGAATGTTTAAGATGACCAAAAGATGCTATTACGGCTTTGTGCCTGAAGTTTATGTAAAACAGATAAATGTGATTTTATGGCTTCTAATATTGTGTTTAATGAAGAGGTATGTTGATGTCAAAAAGTGTTATAAAAATACTCATATCATTTTATAAAAAAAATCAACCAAAAGTCATGTTTTTGTCATTCTTAGTCATCTTTTAATCTTGTGTGTTGATGTGATATACTGTATATATTCAGGTTCTGTTTATTTGAAGGTTAGTGGTCCTCAGAGACTGGAGGCCGACTACCTAACCAGTTAACCACCTTCTCCAATCAGCCTCGTGCATTCTATTCTCTCCACGTTCCTCATTAGCAAATCAATGGCTGAGGTCTCCGGAGTCCAGGGGAGAGTATTGGACCCGGTAGCTGGTAATTGGTAAAAGGAGAGAGAGAACAGCAATGTAAATGCTATTACTGGAGTTTACATCCCTACAAACCAGGATCATTGTCAGCCTTCCCAAAGAGTCCCGACTTTAATATGCGGTGTAAAGTCTGCTGCAGAGGTGTTGTGTAGGTGCATGAAAGTGTGACGTACCGAAATTAAATTTCTCAGCAGCGTCTCACACTTTTCTGAACTGTACAGAAAAAAGAAATATCAGAGACTGAAAAAGGAACATGCTGTGAGCATGTAAGTTGTGTGGAATATTTGACTTGAGGCACACCCTGCTTTCCCTCAGTGTGTCCTCTACACAGCGGAGGTCAACAGTGTGACATGCAACACATTCAGCTATTGACCCAACTCCTGCATTAAATTTAATCAGGTGACAAATCAATACTGTTTAACTCTGGAGCCTGCTAGAGTTTTTAAAAGAGAATGCTTCTCATGGAAGTTTGAATTCATAATGAATATTGGTGGTAAGGAAGGTCATGTTACCTTTAAGTTATCGTTGTATTTCCTAGTTATTAGTATTTCATGTCTGCTAGAAAAACAAAAACACAGAATTAAAACAAAGCATATAAGCCTCAGTGGTCATTACATTGCACACACAGTTAATTTGCATTTTAATCAAATACATAATGTAATTTTAAATGAGTTCAGGGTTGTATATTGGTTTGCAGACGTATGTGCAGAATGTGCTCAGTTGTACATTTCCAAATGGAAGAACTCACCAATAATCCACTGTTGAGCCACAAATTCATGAAGTCACGGGAGAGTTAGAGACAGTTAAATCTGAAGTCAGAGGTGCACCGAGTGAATAAGAAAGGTGATATCACCTTCTGTGGTGCCTCTGTGCAGTTCTACAATGTGTCCTACAAGCTGCTTTGGAAGCTGAACTGCTGCCAGTCAGTGAGGTGGTAAATAATTCAGGAAAACATGGCGTCCATCCATCCATATGCATCACTCTGAGCTTCCCCCTACAGCAGGAAGGGCTCGGTGGTGTGCAAGACTCTGGACATATCAAAGAACAGGATTCTGACTGTGCCTTTCGGCCTCTGCAGGTAGCGATGAGTCACATGGAGCAGATACAGAATATGAGAGCAACATCCTCTGATGTGTCAGTCCACCATCAGACGTCTGACCAGCTTCTTGAAGGTCCTCATTAAGAATGGTGACAGTATGACCAACTGGTAGCCATTAAATGTGATAGTTTTTCCACCTTCCTCTGACTGTAAACAGGGTGAATATGTGCAGAAAAACCTCTGCAGCCTCTTGTAAATGATGCTCTTTGCAACTCCCCTCTCTCCTAAGAAGAAATGATCGACAGGCATGGAGTTTTTTGGGGTGGGGGTTAAGGTGTTGACCATCGGTTTTATGCACATGATGGACAGCCTGAATCAATTTAATGTGCAGTGGCAGCGTCGGGTCTACTGTAGACTGTGTTGACTGATGCTTTCGATCACAGGAAGCAGCTCCATGTCTGAAACACTTCCAGTAGCAGCAGTGGCAGCAATTACAATAAATCTCAGTTTCTCCTCCGATTATCTGCCCAGCCGAGAAGGGAAACCATTAACGCTCCCCACCGTCTGCTTCTCGGTGCACATGTTAATTTGACAGAAAACACAATTGTGTCACCAGCCACGTGGAACATGTTTTCTCATGCCTAACCAGCCGGAGTGGTCATGGCTGTTGAACTGGTGACGTGCCTGTTGGGGCACACGCTAATTGGATAAAATCTGGTGTCAGCATTTCATTCATAGATGGAAGTTCTCCCAGCATCCACCTGCCTCTAACTCCCAACCTCTTTGTGTTTTTTGCTGAATTTTAGACTTAGTCATTGTGAATTTATCAGTGCTGTTTGTGTAAGCGAGACGGTGAGTGAAGGGGGATTGAGTAGTTGTCAGTATGTGGGGCAGGTGCAGTTTGGCTCCTGGGGGACTGTAATGGGATGAGGCCCAGCCAGAATGAGTGTTTGATGACGGGGTTTCACTCCTCCCCTGGGACTCTGCCTGCATGCAATTATCCTCCTGATCCCTTCTCTCTCCTCCAGTCTGCAGCCTAAACTGTACACGGCGACCACTCCTCACTGCTACTGCCTGAATATTCTTTCATTTACAATCTAAAATTCAACCCCCTCGTATGCTAAAAGATCAAGTAATTACAGCCCAAAAATTCAAAGCAGTATTGGAGTAATTACTGTTTTATGGCACCCTCCAGCATGGCATTACACTACCTCGGGGCAATTGAATTTACAAACGCCTCCCTCTCCTCCCCTGCTAATTGCTTTATTAATGGAGAGCTTGGCACCCTAAATCAGTCTGTCTCACCCATAATAACATTATATGTCTCTGCTCTCCACCCACTGCCACACATATGCAACTGGAAACAAATATTTCTTTAAAGATTGCAATGTTTCCAAAAGGATTTCAGAATCTAAACGCTTTTGTTTTTGCAACGACCTCTCAGTAAAGAAAGACAAAACCCTTCCTTCTGTGATATGCAAATGGCGTCTTCTGTAAAACATCTCCATCTTGTTTATAAGCTCCCAAAAGCAAGAATTGTTGTGCTGTCATTATTTTCTTCAGTGCATACTTTCCAAGCCCACTGAAACATTTATTAGCACCAAACTAGATTTTACACCCCCACAGTAATGAGGCAGGGAAACAGTGACGCCGTATAAGGGCTACATTTTAAGACCAGCCGTATGTGGAGTGAGAATTGGATAGTCCACCATGAGACGAAGAGGAAGAAGATTGCTACATCCAATTGTTTTTCCTCCACAGAACTGGTTTCCTACAGTTGCATGTGAGGTAATCTATCACAGGTCCTTTCAGTTCCCCTCCCCCATATCACATTACATTGACAGCTTCATACCCTGCTCTCCACAGCGTGCTCATATCGTGCTCGTATCACACACAGACAAAGGAGAGGAGGAGAGGCTGATAAGATTTAACACGATATCCTCATTGCTGGCTTTGCCTTGAAACCTGGACAAAATGATGACAGATATTATTTTTTCAGATATTAAGGGGAAAATATTTTACAGCTTATACTGTGTATTGATCTTCTGCACATCATTTTTCTTTCACACGATAACCATAAAACAGACACAACCTACAGTGACCGTTCTCTTAGGGCAGAAACTACATAATTGATTCATCTGCAGATTAGTTTCTGAATAATTGAATTAACCATTTGGACTATTTAACATCAGAAAATGGTCATCATAGTTTCCCAGAGCTCAAAGTGACTGTCTGACCGTCCAAAACCCAAAGATATTAAATATTTAATATGATAAGACAACAAAAAGCAGCAAATGTTCACATTTGAGAAGCTTAAATGAGATAATGTTTTGATTTTTACTCAAGAAAACCATAAACCATTAATAAATTATCAAAATAATTGTTGATTAAATGACAAAGCTCTTCTTTATTTTGTTCTTTTTAGTTTTACCAATATGTACAGCAGTCCCAAACAAATCAACCCCCTCCCTCTCCTCATGTGCCAAAATACAGCAGTTTTTCTGCAACCACAGCAGCTCACTGGAGTGTCTGACAGTGCAGTTTTCATGGGATGTCCTGAAGAGGACAGTGGGAATTTCTGTCATCCTGTTTCATCCACAAGCTGCACCAACATTTCACAGAACTCAGTAGAAACATTACACTTCTCCTTTTATAACAAAGCATCTTCATTTCACTCACAGCGTCACTGCGAAAAAAAAATCAAATGAAAGCATCAATCCCTTTTTCCTCTGTGCATGCCTGATGATGGCGGCCACTGATCATCTCTCTGAGTGGGACACAGGTGTGCAGAGGGGCCCTCCTGCCTCTGTGATCCGTCACCAAGGCCAGACAAGGGCCAGGCTGAAGCGGCTTAGGCACGTGCCGAGGGAGGGCCACCCCGCCCCTCAGAGGACTCCCTATTCACACCACCAGATGGGGGCTGGATCTGAGTTTTAATGAATGCTATCCTTCACGACCCTCTAGAAGCCGCAGAACAACAGTCGCCCTTCAGCACGTCTCACTGCGGTTTGTTACCCCACGCCGCCAGAGAACAATAATATACTGGGCAGGATAAAAAAAAACATGATGAGAAGAGAAAATATGTTTCACATTCAAGTCTGATATTTTCCTCACTTTGAGGAAGACAGAAATGCTACATATTCCCCACAAATACTAAATTCACCGTTCAAGAGATTAGATGCTACTTCAGTTAACAGATTTAAAAGACGTCTCTGAGCAAACGTCACGCATTGTGGGCTGGTGGTAGATGTTATGGGGCTGTGTCGACCTCCTGCTGTTTGAAGTGATACAATAACACAACCCTCTAATTTTACCTTTCAGGTCAAGAGCAGAAAGCAATTTGTTCACATTTATAAGTCAAAAGAACTGGTTGGTAAATAGCTGCTTTATGTGAGAGGGAGGGTCTTAATACTTCACAAGTGGGGAGAGAGAAATGTTATTTATAGTCAAATAATGCAGCGCCATGTCAAAGGAAACTAAAGATTCTTCGGCATAATAAGGTTGACAGTAATGAGCTTTTCTTTCTTATTAGCAGTTGTCAGACATGTGGGTATTTATTCTATATAAAGAATGGTTTATTTATGGTTTTCACTTAGTATAGATACAGGCCTAGATACAGGACTTTAATTTGAAGTCAGTAACACATCTGATCATCACCATGGCGGCTTACCCACACTGCCAGTTATGTGTAAGGCTGTGAAGAAGAGTGAGAAACACAAAATCTAAAA